TATTATATATATATATATATCATCAAATTTACTGCACGATTACATTTATACAAATTGTTATAGCTCATGAATGCAAAAAGGCGTACTTCATTTTTAAAATTAATTAATAGTGGTACTTTTGATATGAAGTCAGATATGAGTGGTATAAATGTAAATATGAAAGTTTAGATTTTGGATGTGTAAATATATAAGAATTGTGTTATTTAAAAAATTAACTCTGAATGGCATTTGAAAGCCGGTTGCCCGGTTGGTAGCCCTTGCTTTGTTGACTCCATATGCATTTACGTGCATAAAATTTTGATCTGTAGTCTTACAACATCCAAATCTACACATGACAACAAAGATGTGGTTGATATTAAAATTTTCTAAAATAATATATGCATTTTCATTAATTGGTTGGTTGATATTAAAATATTAAATAAACAAATATCATATGTATGCGGGCGGGCCGCTTGACATCATGTCTTTCGGTGCAGCTTTTGAATAATTTAGAGTTACTGATTTTGATAATTAGCAATAGAAAAGTAATATTAGGTCAAGGCTTAATACTGTCGCCTTAAGATGAAACTAGAGTTGGACTTTCTTTGAACCAAATATTGAAATTTAACAAAGAAAAATAAATATTGATAATGAATTTAAAGCTTCAAATTGCAACAGACAACATTAACATCTGAAATTGCAATAAATTTACAGCACAAAATTAAGACAAATGTTCGATCTCGGGTTTATGTTGTGTCGGTTAGGGTTTGGAACTTCGAGGTGGTGGCAAGGGGCAGCTAGCAAACTAGAAACAAGCATGGAAGGGTTTGTTCTCGGTGGTGAGAGCAAAGAGGAATGCTTTTGGCAAGGTGGCAACAAAGGGGAAGTGGTGAGGGTGAAGGGAGTCGATGTAGGAGAGAAAAGAGAATGTGTAGAAGGAGATATACACTACATGGAAGAGACCAAGATACAGTAGAAACACTAGTTGGAGCTCTAGAATACAACCTTATAGAGGGAAAAGGAAATGTCGACGACCAATTAAAATCACTTAAAAATTGAATCTTAAACATCAAAGAAACATTTAAAAAACCTACTACTATTAGGGCTTGCTTGTTCTCCTGATCACAAAAGTGAAGTGAAATTTTTAATATAAGGAATAGTCTCATCTAATCCCACTAATTCTAAGACTAACTTTAAGAAGTTGATCATTGAATTCACTTTGATTAATACATCAGTTTCTTCAATCCCATGAGAATTGATTGTTCGCCCTTATTTGTATCCAATCAAAAGCTAAGAGACGCTACTTTCTTAGCTTGACGGCATGTCTTTCGGTACAACATTTGGATAATTTAGAGTTACTGATTTTGATAATTAGCAATAGAAAAGTAGTATTATGTCTAGAGTTATCTATAGTTGATTTGGGTCACCTTAAGATGAAACTAGAGTTGGACTTTCTCTGAACCAAATAATGAAATTTAACAAACATTCAAAGAAAAATAAATATTATTAATGAATTTAAAGCCTAAAATCACAACAAATAACATTAAAATCTGAAATTGCAATAAATTTACAGAACAAAACTAAAACTAATGTTCGATCTAGGGTGTATGTTATGTCGGTTAGGGTTTGGAAATCTAGAGTGGTGGCAAGGGGCAGCTAGCTAGCAAGCTAGAAACAAGCATGTAAGGGTTTGTTCTGGGTGGCGAGAGGAAAGAGGAATGATTTTGACAAGGTGGCAACAAAGGGGAAGTGGTGAGGGTGAAGGGAGTCGATGTAGGAGAGAATAGAGAATGTGTAGAAGGAGATATACACCACATGGAGACCAAGATACAGTAGAAACACTAGTTGGAGCTCTAGAATACAACCTTATAGAGGGAAAAGGAAATGTCGACGACCAATTAAAATCACTTAAAAATTGAATCTTAAACATCAAAGAAACATTTAAAAAACCTACTACTATTAGGGCTTGCTTGTTCTCCTGATCACAAAAGTGAAGTGAAATTTTTAATATAAGGAAAGGCTCATCTAATCCCACTAATTCTAAGACTAACTTTAAGAAGTTGATCATTGAATTCACTTTGATTAATACATCAGTTTCTTCAATCCCATGAGAATTGATTGTTCGCCCTTATTTGTATCCAATCAAAAGCTAAGAGACGCTACTTTCTTAGCTTGACGGCATGTCTTTCGGTACAACATTTGGATAATTTAGAGTTACTGATTTTGATAATTAGCAATAGAAAAGTAGTATTATGTCTAGAGTTATCTATAGTTGATTTGGGTCACCTTAAGATGAAACTAGAGTTGGACTTTCTCTGAACCAAATAATGAAATTTAACAAACATTCAAAGAAAAATAAATATTATTAATGAATTTAAAGCCTAAAATTACAACAAATAACATTAAAATCTGAAATTGCAATAAATTTACAGAACAAAACTAAAACTAATGTTCGATCTAGGGTGTATGTTGTGTCGGTTAGGGTTTGGAACTCTAGAGTGGTGGCAAGGGGCAGCTAGCTAGCAAGCTAGAAACAAGCATGGAAGGGTTTGTTCTGGGTGGCTAGAGCAAAGAGGAATGCTTTTGGCAAGGTGGCAACAAAGGGGAAGTGGTGAGGGTGAAAGGAGTCGATGTAGAAGAGAATATTGAATGTGTAGAAGGAGATATACACCACATGGAGATCAAGATACAGTAGAAACACTAGTTGGAGCTCTAGAATACAACCTTATAGAGGGAAAATGAAATGTCGACGACATCCCAATTAAAATCACTTAAAATTGAATTTTAAACTTCAAAGAAACATTTAAAAAACCTACTACTATTAGGGCTGATCATTGAATTCACTTTAATTAATGCATCAGTTTTTCTCAATCCCATGAGAATTGATTGTTCGCCCTTATTTGTATCCAATCAAAAGCTAAGAGACGCTACTTTCTTAGCTTGACATCATGCCTTTCGGTGCAACATTTGGATAACTTAAGAGTTGCTGATTTTGATAATTAACAATAGAAAAGTAGTATTATGTCTAGAGTTATCTATAGTTGATTTTGGTCACCTTAAGATGAAAACTAGAGTTGTACTTTCTCTGAACCAAATAATGAAATTTAACAAACATTCAATAATGAATTTAAAGCCTAAAATTACAACAAATAACATTAAAATCTGAAATTGCAATAAATTTACAAAACAAAACTAAAACTAATGTTCGATCTAGGGTGTATGTTGTGTCGTTTAGGGTTTGGACCTCTGGAGTGGTGGCAAGGGGCAGCTAGCAAGCTAGAAACAAGCATGGAAGGGTTTGTTCTGGGTGGCGAGAGCAAAGAGATTCAAACATTATTGAATGTAAGAGAGAATAGAGAATGTGTAGAAGGAGATATACACCACATGGAGACCAAGATACTGTACAGTTCCATCATCGTTTCCAAACCAGAGATTCAAACATTCAACTAAAAAACCTTGGCAAAATAAAAAAATAATAATAAATCAAATTCAGAACCACGTTTCACTAACTTCAAACATGGCAGGTTAGCATAACTTCACAAACTTCAAAGAAAAATAAAGGAAATTAAAGGAACATTTACATACATACCATACAATTCCTATGTATTTACATATGTAACTCCTAAACTTCAATTTTGGTTGGTATTTATAAAAGGGCCCCAAGAAAAGGGCTTTTACATACACCTAATTCATATAAATTTATCAATACAGCTCCTACATTTTTCTTTTTTACATTTAGGCCACACAATTCTTTCATAATATAACCCAACCCCCCACCAAAAAAAAAAAAAAAAATCACCATTTTAAAGCATATAAATAAGGTGGCATGAATGTAAAAATTGAAGTTTAGGAGTATTATTAGTTTACTTAAAACCAGGGATGCCAAGTTGGATCCATCATGCACAGATTCTTTGGATTCAGAGCAGCTTCAACCAGTTCTGTGACTCCTCTTTGCACAGATTGGGGTGGATCAATTGTATTTTCTTCCTGAAATAAAAAAGAATAATAAAAATTTAAGAATTACGAGAATGTATAAGGGTTAAGCAGATGCAATAAGCAGAATATGGACAGAAGCGCGTACCTCATCTGAAGGCGGAAATGGTGCTATCCCTTTGATACGTTCAATGACATGCTCCACGTTACTCTTAATCTTCTGTTCGAAGTCCAATGGATTGATTCCTCCGGAAGTAACGGGAGCCGAATTCAAGCCGAGGGGTCTTCTCCAAGACCAGGAAAGGAGTTCATCGCGGAAAAACATGGCCAGTTGATACCAAATGTGCTGGCTTTGCTACAATATAACCCAAAAAAATAAATAAATAAAACGCACTTCAGCATGATTGTAACAGAAGAATCCACAAGCACACAAACACTTAAAACAAGAAGGAATTTGATCCGCTTAAACATTCCCAAGTCTATTTTCTGTAGACAGGTGCAGAGATTTGGAAATTGAGCAGGATAATATTATTGAGTAGCAAAAGGGATATAAATATATAATATAAGGGGTATAAAAAA